ACAGATACAAAGGCTTGTATAAATATACAAATATTCTAATACATACATGCATATAAACATACATACATACATACATACATCATGATTACTAACATACATACATACAAACATACATACATACAAACAAACATACATACAAACATACATGCATACATACATACAAACGTGTATACGTACAAGAAAACTAATTAAAAAACTATTTAATGTTGGTTAAAAATAATGAGCTGATAAATTAAAACTCTGAGGAAAAAAAAAAATAATAATAAGATTGATGAAGATGAAGAAGAAGATGATGATGATAATAATAATAATAATATATTCACCCAAAATCGTAAATCAATGATAAGACATAGAAATGAAAGAATTATATATACAAGTTTCTTCTATAGGTTATACACGTACGTACGTTCGTATGTATGTGTGTGTTTGTATGTATGTCTGCATTATAATTGTTTTAGTATTATTATTATTATTATTTTGTTTGGGTGGTCCAATTAACCGGTACGAAGATTTCTAATCACTTCCACCACACCTAAGCCTTCAGAATCTGACATCGTCATCATGATCGCCATGATCGTCATTATTATCATTATCGTCATCATCATTATTGCTATTATTATTATTATTATTGTAACCATCATCATCATCATCTTCATCTTCATCGTCGTCGTCATCATCAGTCAAATCATAAGACCGTTAAAAGTAATTGATAAGGGTAAAGTTTTAAAGGGAACTATTTTTCTGTTTCCCTCTCTCTCTTTTTCTCTTTTTTCTTCTGTATTTCTCTCTTTCTCTCTCTCTCTCATTCTAGCTGTTTCTCTGTACATTTTTTAGCATTTTCAATGTACAAATTTAAATATCTTTTCAATCTTTGCAGTCTATTGTTCGCGATCAAAAATTATTTCTTCAGGTAATCTTAATTTTGCTTTTTTTGTGATTTGTTTTTAGTATCTCTCTCTCTCTTTCTCTCTTTCTTTCTTTTTATCTCTCTCTTTCTTTCTCTCTCTCTTTCCCTTTCTCTTTCACTTTTGTATTTACATTTCTTCACTACTTTAATTCAGTTTTTCCAAATTATTAATCTGCCTCTTTTCATTCGTTCATTTTTGTTCCCCTTTCATTCCATCATAACCACACAATCACACACACACACATGCACGCACACACATGCACACATATACACACACGCACATAAAAACACACACACACAATTTTTACTTCAATTGAGATTTTTCCTTGAGAATATTCCCCGACAGTTGCCAATGATAATAATAATAATAACAATGCTTCTACTACTACTGCTACTACTACTACTACTACTACTTTTACTACTACTACTACTACTATTTTTACTACTACTACTACAACTTCTACTACAAATACTAAAAAATAATTGTATATATATGTATATTGCATGAATGTAT